TCTGGGCCCCATGTCATGCTCACCACTTTACCTGCTTTGTGAAACACTGTAATCTCTCAGAGTCAATGTAGTGCTTCAGCGTTGTTTCTGCATCAGTGGACTTTAGCCCATTAGCATGCAAAGCTAAATGTGTCCCTTGTATCTGTAAAGCACAGTTTATGGAGTTGCAGTTTTGAAGCACTGTATGTGGTTCAATGTGAGCAGGTGACTAGTGTGCGTAAAAACAGGGTCCCCACAAAGAAAACAAAGAATAATCCTGTTACAATTGCCAATTCTTATTCAACATTGCAACATTTTAACATCATTTTTACTACTTACAGATCAGATTAATGACATATTCCCACAGCTCTATTTGACCGTCCTGGGTCAGCAGTCAGCTCCAAGATGGCCGCCTCCCTCCACCAGTGCTGGTATTTTGTCCAAAAGCTCCAAACTTCACCCAGCAACCGTGCAAAATGTAAATCACATACACATAGTTGCCCTACAATTCGTGAGTAATGCAGCAACCGTGTGGAAGGAAAGCCCCCCATCCCGACATTTAAACTTTAATCGCTGTTCAGTCTGTGCAGCAAATTATTGGCAGCTACTGGGCGGATGTAATTATGGCGGGGGTGCGCCCCCACTGGCCAGCCTGCTAAAAGCATGAGCATGACCCCGAGGTAATGAGCCTTCTCTCCTCGCTGAGCGAACACGTCACAAGCATTTTCTTAAAAATACACGAGCCGCTTCTGAAATCCCACACACCCGATGTCCACAGTGCGGAGGGGACAAGACTCTCGTTCAGCAGCTGTGACATGTCTTAGTGTCTGAGAGTTAAATTTAGAATTAAAACCTTACAGTATGTCATGTCTGCACTGAGCTGAAGTGACACAGAGCATTATGGGTAAAAAATGGCAAGTATAGGAATATGACTTATAACACCGTGCTCTACCTTCTCAGATGATTGACACCATCAGTTTGTCAACAGTACAATACAATCAAAACTATGAGATTAGGTCCATGCTCAGATGGCTAATGTTCTTATTATAAATCCACCCTGGGTTCAACCATAGTGTCATCTGAGTGTTTGGACCACATCTCCATTAATGAGAAATAGCAAGTTAAATTGTGAATTATATCAGAAAGGCTCTGTGTTTCTTTGTGTGCTATGAGGGCCGATGTTTCTTACCTCCATGCCATGGAAGCACTTGTGTCATGAGTCTCATTTTTCCATCCATCCATCCATCTGAATTCTATCATTGCCTTTCCAATCCAGAGTCACAGAGAGCCGCGTGTCCATCACAGGAAGCTGCAGGCATGATCCATAAGGAGCAGGATGCCCATCCATCACAGACAAGCTCCTTCTATAGTTTAATCAGTAAAATCCAAAACAAAGGAATTCATTTCAATACTATTACACAAAGGTCTTTAGAAATGAGCCATAAAAACAGCAAGCGTGAAGTCTGACTATACAGCTTTGATTGCCCCCCCTTGCGTACTGGGTCTTTGTGGGTTTCCCGTACTCAATTTTAAACTTTTAGGGAACAACGAGGGTCTTTAGGGGGGATCTGGCAGAACGCAATATTCTTTTATGCATGAGTCCTGCAAAACAATAATCATATTGTATCCCACGCTGGACAAGTTGCATTAAATTTCAGTAATGAATCCCCCTTTTTGGAATGTGTATAGAGTTCAATTTTTTTTATTTTTAAAAATCAAAATGCCCTTGTTTACATTGGATCAGGGGGTAATTCTAAGCACAGAGAATAAAGAGATGATTGACTGGCAGCGGGGATAGTGATTTTTACTTGTTCAAAGTGACTTGCCACTAGGTTATCACTGGATACTTCTGCTTTGGGATACACGGTCAGTGAAGTGTGCAGCTCCGCTAATAATCCGTGACCCTGCCGGGCCTGGTGTTCGATGGCCTGCATGGGGTCTGATGCCAGCATGAGTAAGTCCAGTCAAAAGAGTGGAATTCAGATGGTTAAAAATAAAATTTAGCCGAAGGACGTGGGCTGGAATGGTAGGAAGAGCACAGCTGTCATACATGAGCACCAGGTGCTTGAGTCTCACGCCACCGTTACGAGCACACAGCTGTTTAAATGGCGGGGGGACTTCAAAGCCACGACAGAATATACGGACTAGAGAAACAGCTGTTAGCATAACAGTCAGGTAACAATGACCAACCCACCCAACTGTCTAGTCAGGAAATTATGCTATAAAGGTTTGTTCATGTGTCTTCTTAATGGCTGGCTTTTTAAGCTGTGTCAATGCGACCTTTATTCCTGTTTAATCATGACTGGGGGCGACAGCGGAGATCGACATATAAAGCCTGGATGCAGCCATGTACGCCCCCGGGGCAAAACCTTGAAGCATTTATCCTTAATTGTTATGTCCCAGACATAATGAAAGGCTCATTGCTCCCCTCTCAGTATCATCAGAGCGGCCAAACTTCTGCACATTGTTGGCCCCGACAGTATGACCCATTGGGCCCCGACACGTCCACCACTGGGCTCCCCCTGGGGAAGATGTTCCCATCACTACTGGGTACTGGGCCACCAACTGCCTTTTGTCTCTGTCCGGGACAAAAAAATAATAAAAATAAGAACAGTAAATAAATAAATAAATAAATAAATAAATAAAACAAAGCCACAGTGTCTGTTTTTAAAGAAAAAATGGTGGGAATTAGCATTTTGGTTCTTTGGATACAGCCAGACCCTCACCCAAGTCGCTTGGAAGCAAACCGCCAATCAAGGCGGATTCCTGTTTCCCACGCTGAGGACGGGGGGTCACTGGCTCTTTTGGCGTTCCTCTCCTTTTCCATAATAATTTGAGTGTCTGCCCCGCTGGCGCGTCCCGTCGCCCCGTGCCAGCTCCAGTGTGAGGGCAGCACTCCTGTAAATGAACCGCGCTCGTCCTCAGGGCGCAGCGCGGACCTCCGTCGTCCCGCGTCTCGCTCGCGGGGGTCTTTATTTCACTTTCATTATCATTACTGTCGCGAGTGCGGTTACAAAGAGCAGCTCTCCATCTCGGCGAGTCTCCTCCCTCTGCAGCTTCAGACAGAGGGCAGCCAGACATCCGAAGGGAGAAAGCCACTCGTCCATCCAGAACTAAGTCCTAGTAGCAATTCATCACAAATTTTCCGGTTTGTTTTGTTGATTCAATCCACAGTCTGCGATGCGGATGGGGGGGGAGGGGGGTTGTCTCTGCAGTCTCACACCCCATCACTCCTCCTATTAGAGTCGCACCCATCGCCCCTCCCCTGGCTCCCACGGGGAATCTGTCATGACCGCTCCCGCCCCTCGCGTGCCTAATCAGAGCCGTGGGACCGTCCACCGGGGGCTTATCGGCTCTGGCGGCAGGGCGGGGGGGTCACAGGCCTGTCAGCTCCCACTAATCACCCGTGGGCTAGAGGTCAGGTGTCAGCATGGCTCCCTGGAGGACACAGCACCTGTAACTGGCCTGTCTGCGCCACAGCCTGCCAGTGCCACTCACCCCCCCTCAGCCAGCTCCTGGCTGCCTCCCTCAGAACCTGGACCTCGTTCCCGGGCTCAGTGCCGCCCGCAGACAGGGACTGCGTACCGCAATCATAACCCGTGACAGCCTCTCTCTCACGCACCACACATGACCGATTTAAAGCTTCCTGATGAATATCTGCAGTGGAAATTTCTGGATTCTTGATCATTTCCATTCTAATTCTTTGACTCCTAATGGAGAAAAAAAATGGGTCAGTAATAGTGTCATGCTGTTTCATTCTGGGCATAAATAAAGGGTTTGAATAGCTAGTAGAAAACGTAGATATTCAATGCTATTTAAAAAGCATATAAGCTGGTGTGTTTATTAATATGGGGGTCTGGTGTTATTCTGCAGACATGCTTCAGTGCTCAGTGAAGTTGCTTGAAGAAATGCTGGTTTTGGGGGAGTAGTGTTGCTGGTATGTCATTCAGTGTATGGTGATGTTTGGAGGGGGGAGCAGGTTGAGTGATAGGGGCCCAAAGCGAGTAGCAGGGCGGATGCGGTTACAGCAAGGAAGGAAAGCCAGCGATAAGCTTTGGGGGACTCGGACCCGCTGTCCACGAGGACTCTGACTGCCTGCTCTGTCCCACCCAGCACCAGCTGGCTCCGAGTTTGAAGAGGAGGGCGTGTTTAATATCTGGAAGAGGTGGGATGGCGCTGCCGTCGCAGGACTCGGAGGAAGGAAGCTTTACGCTTGATGCGTGCGCATTTTCCCGCTCTCAGTGGAATCGCCATGTGCGAACCAGGCCCTGAGAGCTCATTCCCGCTTTCACAGCGGCGTGATTTAGCACCTTCTCATATTTTTAGCGCTAGCAGCGTTTATAGCCCATGCCAGGCGCTCTGCCTGCCCGGGAGTCCCACCCACAGCCAGCGCGGCGTTTTAAAGCCGCTCCTGTCGGCATTCATCTCCAGCTCACCGCTGGAAATGAAGGGCCATAAATGAGACGGTACGGTCCGCCGCAGTCAGTGGGGGTCGCACGGCATGCCAGCCCCCAACCTGACTCGGGCAAACCCGTCAGCTGGGGTTGCACCCTTAGATGCGAAAGCTAGTGTGGGATTCGGCAAAGTGGCCATTGCACATGAACACCTACTAGGGGGGGCCCATTAACGGCTGCAGGTGCATTGGTTTTCGATGCAGACCCACAGTACTGCAATCAAGTATAACATTACCTAAACTGTACAGAAATACACATGGCCCCCCTTTAAAGAGGGCTTTGTCTTTGTCCTCGGAGAGCCTTTAGTCCCCCGCCCCCGGCCCATTCCCAATATCGGTTTGCTCTTCTAACTCCTCTGTTTGATGCACCGTGAAGGATCCGTGACACTGGCAATGGTGCTGCAAGCCCTTCCTCTTCCAGGCGTCTGTTGCTGACATGTCTCCCACTTCAATTATTCACTGTAATAATCTGATTAGATTTAACACCTCAGTCTTTTTCTCACTTAGCCGATCGCTGGCGGCGCCTGCGGGATCCTGATCCGTCTCTCGTGCGGCCTGTACCCTACAGGAGCAGGGCCGTCCCATCCCTCACACTTCCAAGTTCTTCCCAGCCGGACCTTCAGTCGCACGGGGACCAGCATGAGGAAGGAGCCTTTTCTCCTGGGCTGCCTGGGGGTGGCGGCACTGCTCCAGCTCGCAGCCGCCGGCTTGGTCAGGAAGGTCATCCGGCACCGGCGCGAGACCCTGTCCCCCCGGGCGACGGAAAACGTCTCGTTACCACACCCAGATGAGCCGGTTGTCTTCAACCACGTCTACAACATCAACGTGCCCTCGGGCTCTCTGTGCTCCGTGGACCTGGACTCCCCCAGCGGGACGGAGCTGAAGCCCAAGGCCGCCCCGCCAGAGCTGCCCGCCACCGAGCACACGCTGGACGGCGACAACCAGATCGTCTTCACACACCGCATCAACATCCCACGGCAGGCCTGCGCCTGCGACAGCCACCTGCCCAGCCTGAAGGAGCTGCTGAATCGCATCGAGGCGCTGGAGGGGGAGGTGTCGAGCCTGAGGGAGCAGTGCGGCAGTGGGGTCGGCTGCTGCGGAGTGCACGCTACCGGTAGGCTGATACACCCGGGGGCAACCTGAGGACCGAGCAGTGTATGGGCCCAGACAGTAGGGGGCCCCCATGAGTGTGTGTGTGTGTGTGTGTCTTCCGTTTGGGGGGGGGAGCATTCCACAGAATTATCAGGGCCCTAGCTTTGTGTGGCACTGCTTCCAGGAGCTCCATAGATGTGACCTGATGTGGTGCAGTGTGTGGATTGTCTTTTGTGTCTTTTGATTGCCAAACAGTATTAATATTCACCATCTGTCCAATGACCATCGTCAATCTGAGTGCCTGACCTGCCCCCCAGGTGAAGTGGGCATCAAACCCTACTGCAGTGGCCATGGCAACTACAGCACAGAGACGTGCGGGTGTGTGTGTGAGCCTGGCTGGAGGGGCGCCAACTGCTCAGAGGCCGAGTGTCCCAACGACTGCCAGGACCAGGGCCGTTGCATCGACGGTAAGTGTTACTGCTTCGTGGGCTTCAAAGGTGAAGACTGCAGCATTGAGGAGTGCCCCGTGGACTGCGGGGACAACGGCCAGTGTGTGGATGGCGCCTGCTTGTGCATCGAAGGCTTCTCTGGCGAGGATTGCTCGCAGACCAACTGCATAAACAACTGCCTGGGTCGCGGCCGCTGCGTGGAGGACGAGTGCGTCTGCGACGAGCCCTGGACGGGCTTTGACTGCTCTGAGCTCATCTGCCCCAACGACTGCTATGACCGCGGCCGCTGCGACAACGGCACCTGCTACTGCGATGACGGCTTCACTGGCGAAGACTGCGGCGAGCTCACCTGCCCGGGGAACTGCAACGAACGCGGCGCCTGCGTTGATGGCAAGTGCGTGTGCACCACGGGCTACACTGGCGAGGACTGCTCCAAGATGACCTGCCTGAACGACTGCAACGAGCGCGGCCACTGCTTCAACGGCATGTGCGTGTGCGATCCCGGTTACCAGGGAGACGACTGCAGCGAAATCGCCTGCCCGGACAATTGCAACAACAGGGGGCGCTGTGTGGATGGCAAGTGCGTCTGTGATACCGGCTTCCAGGGTGATGACTGCGCTGAGCTCTCCTGCCCCAACGACTGCCTGGGGCGCGGGCGCTGCGTTGATGGACAGTGCGTGTGCGACGAGGGCTTCACCGGTGATGACTGCGGCACCCGCACCTGCCCTGGTGACTGCTACGGCCGTGGAGACTGCGTGGACGGCACCTGCGTCTGCTATGTCGGCTACACTGGGACGGACTGCGCTGAGCTCTCCTGTCCCAATGACTGTCTGGGGCGCGGGCGCTGTGTCGACGGCCAGTGCGAGTGCGATGAGGGCTTCACTGGCGAGGACTGCAGTGAGAGGACATGCCCAGGCAACTGCCTGGACCGCGGCCGCTGCGAGGATGGCCGCTGCATCTGCATGCAGGGCTATGCCGGCGACGACTGCTCCGTGCTCACCTGCCCGGGGAACTGCAATGACAAGGGGCGCTGCGTCGGCGGCCAGTGCATCTGTGATGAGGGCTTTACTGGTGATGACTGTGGTGAGCTGGCCTGTCCCAACAACTGCCTCGACAGGGGGCGCTGTGAGAACGGGCAGTGTGTTTGCCAGGAGGGCTACATCGGCGAAGACTGCTCCCAAGGTACGACCACAAAACCAGGACCGATAAGCTCAGTGCTTTTACTAGTTACCAGTTTGCTAATGATTTGTAAGATTCATGCAGTTAAACTAGTCTGGATATCTTATTTTTCTATCGGGGAAAACATACAGGCACCCAGACACTAGAGGGTGCCCATGAGTGTGTGTAGCTTTGGGGGGAGGGGGGTGCATTTGCAGGGCCCCAGCTATCCCTTTGTGTGGCCCTGCTTCCAAGATTTCACCTGACATGCTACAGTCTGTAGCTTGTACACAGTGGACATAGCTTAACCAGTCTGGATATCTTATTTTTTCATTCATCTTCACAACCAGGAAGCTCAGGGAGGTGAGCACCCTAGACCCAGACCTCGGGGACCTCCAGGCGGGTCACGTATTGCTTTTTTATTGAATAATTACTGTGTTCAGAATGTTCCCGTATCTTACTATCCTGTTCCTGCTGATGAAGATGAATGGAAAAATCAGATATCTACACACAGAGGTGTGCGAGACAAACCCCAGCAAGCCTGCACTTTGGCCAGTCATTGTGCGCATTTCCGTAATACTTACATGTTAGTTTTAACTGCTGACGTCAAACGCGGCATTTTAAACGTGGCCTTTTCCCTCCTACCTGTCTCATGGCGTCTTGAAAAGTCATTGGCCCGTGGCAGTGGCCCTGTGCAGCGTTTGCGGGAAATGCTGTATGTGTTGGCAGAAAGGACGGGCGAAGCCGCGGGCGGCTCAGACGTACGAATGTGATCGCTACTGGGCTGCATTCTTTCCACAGGCCTTGTGCAGTTCATTACTGTAACATCTCCGCCTTCAGCCCACGGGTCAGCCTGTGTACTTCAGTGTGCTTACACTTTGTTTATCCACATAGCTAATATAGCATTTGTAGTTTTAATCATCTATTGTTGTGTATGATGGGATTTATAGGATAAACCAGTTTAAAGGGGCAGCTCACCCCAAAAGTAAAAAAAGATATGTCTTAGCGAACTATTTTCTTCTACCGAACTCCACACACCAATTGCTAGAAGAAAATAGTTTGTAACTGAAACTGCTCAGTACAAAGTCTGTGGATTATCTTCAATAACTGGGTCATGATTTATGGTAAGAGACATTGCTGTTGGATTTTTCAAATGTATTTTTCTGGCGCTTTAATCACCACAGAAAGATCAGTCCCATTATATTCGAGAGAAACCAGACATTTCTATGGCCAATATCTCCAAAACTAGGCATCTCCCAGCAGAACAATCTAGATTGATGGATAGCACTTGAACCCCCCCCCCCTCACTTTTGGGGTGAACTGCCCCTTTAAACAGCTTATACTAGCTATTGAACCTTATCACAACCTGCAGTCAGTATGATATAGGGTTGATCTTTTGGGTGAATCTTAAGGTCACCTACGCTCTGTGTACAAATTAAAAAAAAAGGTTATAAATTTCTTACTATTCTTTAAAATGAACTCAAGCTGTTGTGAAAATGAAACCTAAAGCACCGTCACCAGAATAAGCAGCGGAAAACGCAGCGAGAGAGAGGGACGGGCGTAAATCTTGCAGGTGAAGTGTAGCTTCAGACTTCCTGTATTCCTCACTTCTGCCTCTTTAAACGGGACTTCCCGGGTACAGCAACATTCTGAACACAGCGGTTATTGAATAGAACATCAAGCAGTTTGACAAGGCGATTAAGGTTTTCACTGCAGAACTAAAAATACACAAGTAAAGGTAACACTTACTCTACCACAACTTCAACAGATAAATACATAGAATCCTGGAGCCAAGGAAGGAGCAAGACTAAACAGAAATTAGTCTAAAAATGTGAGATGACATGGGAAATGACGGGACCTGGAGTGAACTGCAACATAATAAATGATGAAAGAAAAATCAGAATCAATAAAAACATCTTAAAAGTGAGATGTTCACCACCTTGCTTTGGTCTGATGGGGTATTTTTGCTTCCATTCGGTGGTGTTCACAGTCTCTCCAGCCAAGGACCTCACCATAACCGAGGTGACCACCGAGACGGTGAACCTCACCTGGATCAACGAGATGGTGGTGACTGAGTACCTCATCACCTACGTGCCCACGGCGCCGGGGGGGCTGCAGCTGGACATGCGTGTGACAGGAGACCAGCAGGCCACCACCATCAGGGAGCTGGAGCCCGGCGTGGAGTACCTGATCAGCGTCTACGCCATCCTCAGCAACCAGAGGAGCGTGCCCGTCAGTGCCAGGGTGGCCACACGTAGGTCTGGCCGCTGTAGGGCACCAGAGCCCAGGAGGGCCTGGAAACTGCTTAGCATTGTCACTTCCTGTCACATGACTCCCAGCTAATCATTCAGTGATGTTTCTATGCAAACTGATGCACATTTCAGAAAGCAGAGTCAGCCAGTCCCTGGAGTAATTGGGGGGTCTAGGGACTCACTCAGAGACCCAACAGCAAAATCATTCTCCCGACCCGGGGACTGGAACCAGCAATGGCCCGATTACAGGCGGTGACAGATTAATCATGAGGCGTCCGATAGCCATTATCTGTAGCAAAACAGGAGCAGGAACACCCCCCCTTAATTAAACTCATTTTACATTCACGTTGAATGTGATCTCCTTCCAATCATGCTTCCAGCCTGGTCTGAGTGTTCAGGGACCAGAGCCCAAGGTCTGTTTGATTTTATTCACTTAGCAGATGCCGGCCTTCTGGCAGAAGCTTCCGGCTGCTCCAGCCATCGTTTTCAGGTCTCAGTCAAAGACGGCATGTCCTCACGGTGCCGCTCAGTGTTCCGGAGATCCTGCGCGGTGTAACGGCTGAGTGGCCTGCTCCGTGGCGCTGAGCGAGAAACCCATCTGTTTCCTTTGTTTTTCTTCCCCTCCCTGTTAGATCTTCCCGAGCCTGAAGGTCTGAAGTTCAAGTCCATAAGGGAGACGTCTGTGGAAGTCCAGTGGGATCCCCTGGACATCGCTTTTGATGGCTGGAATCTCATTTTCAGGAACACGGTGAGTCTGTCCTTCTCCTGCAGCAGGACCCAGACAAAGGGCACGACAGGGACCATTGAAAGCAGCCGCTAATGTGGAAAGCATGCGGTGCTGCTGGCTGGGTATGGGCCGTGGCTGCGGGGGAAATCCCCAGGGCGAACCCCCAGGGCGGCTTTGTCTTTCTGGGGCCCCACTTAAAAACTGACCTTATCCCATCCCCCTCACTCCCCCAGAGCAATGACTGCTCGTGACCAACAGGGGGCCAGACCTTAAGGGGCTCAAGCAAACGTGTCATTGACCCTCAGCACTGAATAACTTTAACTTATGTGCAGAATTACAGTAGATATACAGTGGCTTCTTTGCTGTGACTTTTGGGTAATGTAGTTCTCAATATCAGTTACTGGTGCACTACCTTTGAATTATCCACCCACAAGTTACACAAATCAAAGCATGCTACGATGTCTGGCCCTATGGCAGGCTCCACTGCTCCAGGGAGTATGTGGTCTGCGAGGGGCCATCAGGAAACGTCTGGCGGAGACTCTGTAGGAGAAAGCTTCCCTGAGCTGGCACGGAAATAATATATAGCGCATGAACATGGAGCTGGGCGCTGAGGTTAGTGGGAAGCTGCTTTCTGGAAGCTTCTGGCAGCTGTCCTGGTGGCCATAAAGGGCTGGAGTCCTCATTGTTTCCCCGCCGTGTTCTTTGAAGACATTGTGAATGCTTAGATACTTCCAGCCAAAGGAACCATTTCAGCCACACGCAATAGAGCGTTTATGGGTTTTAATTCTCTCCCTCTCTTTGTACCTCTCTGACCGCTCTTGTGTGAAGCTTCCTGAGCTAAGACACACATGGCTGTGCCCGATCAAATCTATAAATGCCACATTATGATATTTTAATGGCTTACCGCACTGAAGGATGACTGTTCTAGCAGATATTCATGTCGGGGAAATCGCTGGCATGGAGCCGTCCGAGAAACAGCCGGCTTGCGTGTGGCTGTGAATTTTGCCCTCACCTGGACACTTCAGCGGTCATTATTTTTTAATGGCAATTTATCTAGCACTAAAGAAAACAGCAGAAGTGTTAATGAAGTCAAATGCATGCAGCTCTCCTCTGGGAGCGGCTGCCAATGGAGAGCTTCTGTCTACAGTAACTTAGGAAGCCTTTGCTTATGAGCACAGCTTTGCTCAAAATATTCAAGGTTTTTCGCTTTGTAGCGGCAATCACCTGGAGACTAAGAAAACCATGGGAATTTCTGATTTTTTTTTTAAATTGCAGACACCAGCACCCTGATATATAATAGCTATAATGCTCTACAGTGCCCTACAGAGCTCCTGTACAGACAAAATATATATATGCCACGCACAGCAGCATTTCTGAAAAGCGATTCCCTACATAAGCTTCTTTAAGTGTTAATAAAAGTTCATACTTTCAGCACCGTTCCTCTGAGTACGGGGGGGTGCACAAGACATTGTGGTCTCCCAGCTCCAGGCCCATGGGTTTGCCTCCACCCTTGAGTCTCTGTGTGTTTCTCCTTGTGTTTGTGTGGGTTTGGTCACACAGCTCATGTTTCCGTGCCTTCTTGGTCAGGCTCTGGGCCTGTCCTGACCCCGCACAGAGGGGACCGTGGGGTATTAGTTTTAAATCACTTGGTGCTTCTCTCCTGCTCTCTGCCACCACAAAACACACAGAGGTTTTACGGCTCACCCCCCACCATTCCGCTGTCTGTTGCTTTGTTGTTTACTGGGCCTGAGTTTAACAAAGCTGACAACAGCTAAGGCTCGACTAATCAAGCAGACTCAAGTATCGATGGAAGCATTCAGGCACAAAATATATTTAAATGCATTCTGAGCTATTGATTCACTTTCTGCATCAGGCCTGAATCACAGTAAATGAACAGCAATTAAATTAGTTATTTTTAGCTCGCGGTCATTCATCTGGTAATTATAAAGGAGTCTGGGAAAAGCTTAGGGGCCAGTGCAGCGCCAAGTCCAGTGCTGATGAGCGGATCTTCGCTCTCAGAGTGCTGTGTAGACGTGTTCTGGATTTTGCTGCTGCTCTCTTGCAGAAGGAGGAAGGCGAGGAGATTCTGAACACGCTTGGGCGGCCGGACACCAGCTTTGAGCAGTCTGGCCTGGCCCCCGGGCAGGAGTACGAGGTCAGACTGCACGTGGTGAAGAACAAGACTCAGGGGCCTGCAGCCAGCAAGAATGTCTTCACAAGTACGGAGAGACCCCGCTGGGCTTACCCGTCTTGGGCTTTTCTCCACAATCCTGGTAGCATCACTGCAGAGGGAAGCTAATGAGGCCAGTAGTTGGGGAACCTGACATTGCAACCTGAGAAAAAACCCTTTCAGTCCTAAAAGCGTCTGCCTGACGTACCGTCCAGCTGGGTTTGTAACCTGAAGTAACCTCGAGTAAAATACCCAGTAGCGTAAATGAGTAAAATGGCAACTTCCTTCAGATAAAAGCTGCTAAACAACTAAGTAATATATTTCCAGGGTCGGCAACTTTGGTCAGCTGACTGGAGTGAGATCTTCAGTTTGAGATTTGCATGTATATAACAGTTTTATTACCTTGTAAATAGTCTGTAGGGTTTGCAAACTACCCCAATGCTTTCAATGTAGCTAATTTTATGTTTACGATGGAATAACATAGATCTGCCGTAATATTCCTTGCAAAAGTGTGAGACTTTGAAAGTGGGAGTGTCACGTCATGCGTGAGGGAGGGCTGCGTGAAATTTTTGTGCCACTCTTCAGCTACCCAAAGACACTAACAATGTTTAAGGACACAGAGCACATTGTAAGTGTAATAATGCATCACCGCCTGTAGAGAGTGACTTTCATTTGTCGATGGTAATACCTAAAAAGCTGTGCTGGGATTTCTTCGCTATGCAGAAACAAAGGAATATGTGTTCCTTTTGTTTGCAGCATAGAGGCTTTTAGGTGGGTTTTAATAGCCTGGTTAAACTCTGAGGAATGAGAAACTCTTGCAAAGGCTGTAGCTCTAGATCGGACTTCTGGATTTAGCTTTCACACCTGCAGAGGAAATCCGTTAAAAATCAGTGAAGTGCTTTCCCTAGCCTGCTGGCAGACAGCGTGAGGTCCCACCTACCGAGTCGCTGGGCGGCTGGGAGAGCGCAGTTTGTAGCAGCGAGGGGATTAGCCGTCGGTGTGGCGGAGATGAGATCCCTGCTGTTCCTCTTTACTCTTTTAAAGACCCAGAGGATGTGTTCACCCCCAGGGGGACTGTGGAGGGTTCCAGTTCATCAAAAAGCTGGGATTGGCTGCAGCACAGTTTCTTATCTGGTGGCTTCAGAAGTTGTGCTTAACCGGCTCAGCGTATCACTGGGTGCTGATCTGCCTTTTACTGCATAGATAGAATTACTAATCAGAAATAAACTGCAGATGATGACCAAAAACAAATCATTAGCCTGTAAAGAAAGTCTTAGATAATCATAGCAATTAATCTCAAGCATCCTTGAGTGGCTACAATTTGGAAATGCAGAGTGAAAGCAATTCCTTCTATGTCTGACAGTAGGAGACTATAATTAAAATAAATGTCTCTGCATTATTTTCAGCATTTTTAAAGGATATTCTACAAAGAGTTGATCAGCTTTTTATTGGCTCAGCTCTCACTCTGACTTCCTGTCCTGTCTGGTTTGATCGGCCCAGTTCTCACTCTAACTTCCTGTCTTGTCTGTTTTTAATGGTCCAGCTCTCGCTCTGACTTCCTGTCCTGTCTGGTTTGATTGGCCCAGATCTCACTCTGACTTCCTGTCCTGTTTGGTTTGATTGGCCCAGCTCTAGCTCTGACTTCCTGTCCTGTCTGTTTTGATTGGCCCAGCTCTCGTTCTGACTTCCTGTTCTTTTTGGTTTGATTGGCCCAGTTCTCGCTCAGACTTCCTGTCCTGTCTGTTTTGATTGGCCCAGCTCTCATTCTGACTTTCTGTCCTGTCCGGTTTGATTGGTCCAGCTCTCGTTCTGACTTCCTGTTCTGTCTGGTTTGATTGGCCCAGCTCTCGTTCTGACTTCCTGTCCTGTCTGGTTTGAATGGTCCAGCTCTCATTCTGACTTACTGTCCTGTCTGGTTTGAATGGTCCAGCACTTTCTGACTTACTGTTCTGTCTGGTTTGAATGGTCCAACTCTCACTCTGACTTACTGTTCTGTCCGGTTTGAATGGTCCAGCACTTTCTGACTTCCTGTCCTGTCTGGTTTGATTGGTCCAGCTCTCGTTCTGACTTCCTGTCCTGTCCGGTTTGATTGGCCCAGCTCTCGTTCTGACTTCCTGTCTTGTCTGGTTTGATTGGCCCAGCTCTCGTTCTGACTTCCTGTCCTGTCTGGTTTGATTGGCCCAGCTCTCGTTCTGACTTCCTGTCCTGTCTGGTTTGAATGGTCCAGCTCTCACTCTGACTTACTGTTCTGTCCAGTTTGAATGGTCCAGCTCTCGCTATGACTTACTGTCCTGCCTGGTTTGATTGGCCTAGATCTTGCTCTGATTTCCTGTCCTGTCCGGTTTGAATGGTCCAGCTCTCATTCTGACTTCCTATACTGCCTGGTTTGAATGGTCCAGCTCTCACTCTGACTTACTGTTCTGTCCAGTTTGAATGGTCCAGCACTTTCTGACTTCCTGTCCTGTCTGGTTTGAATGGCCCAGAGATCGACAGCCCCAGCCAGGTTGAGGTACGTGACGTCACGGATTCCACGGCCCTGATCACCTGGTTCCGCCCACTGGCCCAGGTGGACGGCATCACTGTGTCCTATGGACCCAGCACGGACCTCGAAGACAGACAGACTGTGGAGCTCCCAGCCACGGACAGCCAGTACCACATGGACAACCTGCAACCCGACACCACATACAAAGTGTCCCTGACATCCAGGAAGGGGCAGGCCACCAGTGACCCCACATACGGCACCTTCCTCACAGGTTAGGGAGTGTCTCTGCATTGGCCTGGGAACCGCTTGTCATGGTCACTTCCTGTCATTCAAGTTCAAGCCAATGGGCATTTCTGCTGTTTGCCTCCTTGTGTATAAATGTTGTGTGCTGCACTGTGTGCAGTAACTGGTCTGTATTCTGTCTGTCTCAAAACTCTGCATTACACTACTTAAATATGCAAAAAAAACAACTAGATTTATTACGTATTGTGGCTCCCACAATTTGCAATAATTTCCTCCAGCCTGGTCATGTAGCAAAGAAGATTATGATTCTGATCATTAAATGTGACAAATGTATAACATCTAACTGTGTCCCTCCAATCACAGCCATGAGAAAATAACAGAAATCATGCAGTTTTTAAAGAGCAGACTTGGAGGGCAGACAGTAAATGAGCCCAAGGACCTGAATGCCCCCCTAAGCTCTCTGTTGGCAGCAGGACAGAGCACAGCGTTTCTCTGTTCCAGACCTGGACGCCCCCCAGGAGTTGCAGACAGTGACCCAGACGGACGAGAGCATCACCCTGGAGTGGAGGAACAGCAGGGCCAGCGTGACAGGCTACCGTGTCAAGTATGGGCCCATCTCCGGGGGGGCGCACGGCGAGGTCATGTCCCACAGCGGACAGCAGGACAAAACCCAGACCACCATCACAGGTGAGGAAACGGTCTTAATCTCCGCATCCACAGGCAGGCCTCACCCAGCGGGTAAGGAGGAGGCCCAGAGACTGCATTTTTATAGGCTCAAAACCCAGAAGGGAGATTGCTCTTGTACCCTTGACTGAGGTACTCAGATTGCTCAGGGTTTTACCCAGCTATATGCAAACTGGGCTTTTCTGTGTATGCTACCCCAACAGCCCGTTGGGTTGCTCATTTACTCAAAGGTTATAAACACTTACACAGCACATCTTCGAAAGGTGTTGAATGGTCACTTTAAAATATGGGTGGACCTTTTCTCTGTCCCTCTCATTTGTCCTCCGGAGGCTGTTCCTTCATGAAAACACATTTTATTCCCTTGAGCCCCCCAGACGGCACCTCACTGCCCCCCTCCCTCCGCATCCCATTGCAGTTATTACACATAATGGCCGTCATGCGTGTGGTTTTGTTGATAATGAGTCTACCCTGCATCAGGTATAATTTCACGCTGGGGGTCTCCTGGGTCATACACCCTGTTAATGAAGGCAGTAAATTGTAGGGTTCAGACAAGGGGGGCTCTAATTATGTGTGTGGGGGGGGGGTGTGTTGGGGGATAACTGCTACTTAGTGCCTAAGGCACGGTCATGTTCTTGTCAGTGCGCCCCCCTCACTGTACACACAGCCACCTTTGATAAGGCATTTCACACACAATCCCAGCCAAATGGACTGTATGGAGAAACCATCACTGCAGGGGCAATTCTAGGATTTGTTACGGTGGGATGCCATATTTCATACAGAGTGGCCAGCCTTATCATTAGCCAATGAATGTGGAATTGGTGAGTGACAGGCCAGGGGAGTGCTCCGGGGGCCAGTCAGCTTTCAGCTGGCCCCGCCCCTGTATACGGCCCTGCTTGACTGAAATGTGGATGGCTGGTTGAGTAGTGCTGCTGCCTCATTCCTGCATGGTTGCAGGGGGGCCGGAATCCTGCCCCCACTCTGTGTTGCGCGGAGCTTGCATTTTCTCCACCATATCCTGCTGGTTTCTAAAGTCATGCAATTATGTTAACCTCTGTTTCCCTGGCCCACAATTTTATAGATTTTCCTCAGAAACATTGTTATATTTCGGGGGGGGACTGGGGTTATAGAACATGAATGAATATTTTGCAATTCTGACAGGAAGCAACATTCCATACAAGAACACAGCAGCTCATCTAAAAATGCAAACTACACGAGCCAGTCTGTCACGTGGCAGTGAAAGACACAGCTGTGCCGCCTGCAGCTTTATGGTACAATTCCCAGGAAGGAACTTTCTGTTGTACCCTTGAGCATTGCACATGAGAGAAACAGGTGTCCCTAAGTGATTAAAGAGCTGCCTTTGTCATCGTGCATTGAGCATATATGTGCCTGTCTGTCAGTGTTTCTCTGTTTTTTCCCGGCGGTTCAGGTCTCAGGCCTGGGACGGAGTACGGCATGGGGGTGACGGCGGTAAAAGACGAGCGTGAGAGCCTGCCTGCCACCACCAATGCAGCCACTGGTGAGAGAATGCACTGCTACCATCACCCATGATGTCATCCCTTCTCCATGCCAGAAAATGGTCGCTGGGTCATAAAGGACCTTGGATTCTAGGCGACCACAAATGCACCTTCTTCTCATCAAATCCATTCGGTATTGTTCCACTAATGCCCCCTAGAGGGCGCCTGTGGTTCTCAGTGGCGGGGGTGACGCATCATGTCTGTCAAAATCACTCAAGCCCCATGTGAATGTGACTTTTGTCCATTCATTCTGCACACTTGGTCTGTTTACATCTGCGGCGCCCAACCTTGAAATTCAATTACGCTCGATTCAATTTCAACAAAGATTTTGAAAAAAATGAAAACATCGCAAGCTGTTTTGAGGCAAATTAAAACCAGCCCCGTGCACAGACATAGCGACGGTAGAAGTCCCACAATAACAAAGGTTTTTGTGGGTAAAAAAGACAACAGAGGAGAAGAATTCAAAAGGCGTCTGGTGGATGTATAAAAAATGTCCTGCGGTTATTCAGGCAAATTGGACGGCCAACCACTCTAAAGTAACATTTTATTAGTAAAAAAGAAAACATCTCGAGTGAGCTCAGCCAATGAGGTTCAGCCCTGAGAACCCCCCACCCCAACCTGTTCTAGACATCGACGCCCCCAAGGACCTGGAAGCCAGCGAGGCGACGGAGAACACGCTCACGCTCATCTGGAGAAGACCCATTGCCAAGTTCAGCCTCTACCGGCTGGTCTATATGTCAGCGGATGGCAGGAGGGCGGAGACTGAGCTCCCCGCTGGCATCGTCACGGAGACCCTGAGGGACCTGAGCCCGGGGATGCTGTATACCGTCACGCTAACAGCAGAGAGGGGCGGGAGGAAGAGCCGCCCCGCAACCCTGTCCGCCTCCACAGGTGAGGCCGCAATTCATACAGAGGGACCGGCGTTATAATTAGCCAATGATGTGTTTTAAATTGATGAGTGACAGGGGAGGGGATAGTCTGGTGGCCAATCAGCTTTCAGCTGGGGTCAGTGCCCCCTGTGGTCCCACCCCTGGGATTATCTTGTGTCATTCATTATCTCAAAGTGTACCGTTTTTCAGCCAGACATCTAGGAAATCTAAGTCAAAGCAGAACAGCTAAGCTCAAGCAGCTGCACTAACCTTGCCCGTGTTCGATGGTAAAGGCTTCATCCTGGGTAAGAAACACGTGTTTAACATGTAACAGATGGTTTTTTAATTGGGGGTCTGACCTGTTAGGGCTCTTTGATTGAGTTTTGTGGATGCAACCGGAGCCAAACTCAGAGAAGAACAGAATCCAGCGTTCCTCTGCCCCATGTTTCCCCGTTTCCGCTAAAAGCTTCCATTTTTGTCCCTGGAACATTAGACATTATTTTGTTTCCAATCGAAGCACCAGAGATCTGTTACAGCACTGTGCAGGTACCAGGCACAAGTCCAGACACAACGCACATCCGAGAAGCAGCTAGGATTGCTGAACAGGATGCCACTAACCTGCTTGGTAAACAGGGTAATGGGGGATGAGCTGGCAGTGTAAAATAAATAAAATAAATACCTTTGCCAAATTTTTATCCCACCTGGCCAAAAATGCCAGATAAGACCCCCCTCCCTCCCCCAAGACCCATTCATGTCATAATAATGACACACTTCTGTTTGTGTGTGATTTTACCAGAGATCCCTTGCAGGGGTTCGAAGTGGGCACATTGTCTCCATCGTTGACGCTCTGTCTAATCCCCACCCCACACACACCCCCTGTTTATCGCGCATCTTCGTCTGTGCAGCTTGCAAAGTTGGCATGTGTCTTTCCAGGTAAAGTGAGTAGTGTACCTCGGGGCAGACGTGTCCAGGTAAAGTGAGTAGTGTACCTCGGGACAGAAGTGTCTGGGTAAAGTGAGTAGTGTACCTCGGGGCAGACGTGTCCAGGTAAAGTGAGTGGGGTACCACTCACAGCTATG